TATCGAATGCAGCTGACAAGTCGGTGTATATGACGTCTGTTTGAGTCCTCTCTGCCATGCTTTCCGTAAGATACGATGCCAAACACAGCAGATTTGTGGAAGTAGAACGACCGCAAGTGAAGCCGTGTTGATCACCACTTAGATACTGCTTACAATGAGAGAGTAGAGGCTCCATGATGACTAACTCGAATAACTTCGAAACTGCACTCAACGACGTAATTCCACGATAATTGTCCACATCCCGTTTGCTGCCCTTTTTGTGGATAGGAAACATATGTGTGAATTTCCAACAAGATGGAAATGTACCACTCGAGATGGACAATCGAAATAGGGCATCAGCAAGCTGGCGATATGCTTATTCAGGAATACGGATGGAACGCCATCGGGTCCTGGATTGAAGGACGACTTGAGTTGTGATGCGGCAGTGGAAATCATCTCGACGTTGACATCCATCGCACCCAGTGTTTGACCGTACAGTGGAACATTACTAGCTGCTAGGGTAACGTGTTCGTCAGTTAATCTCTCATTCGTGAAAACACTGGCGAACTTCTCAGAAAAAAGGGACAGATCTGCTGAGGAGTGGAAGCAACTGCTCCATTCAACACCATTGAAGAAGGTAGGCCGGATTCCTTGCGCTGCTCATTTACGTAATTCCAGAATGACTTCGGGTGCGACTTGAGTTTCCTCTGAATCCCTCGTTGATATCGCGAATAGCATCGATGGCTAACTCGCTTGAACTCATAATTGAGCCTAACGTAGTGACGTTTCAGCGAAAGCGTACGATACTTAGTGAATTTTCTTAATGCGGCTCTCTTGGTCGACTTCAACCTACGCAGTTCACTCGTCTGCCAGGGAGGATGAGAAATTTTACGGTGAACTCTTTTCGGAACGTGCCTGTCAATGACATAGGCCAAGACATGTGAAAATGTTTGCGCAGCGGTTTCAACATTATCAGGATCGAGGATGCTCTCCCAATCTATACTAGATAGCACGTTGACGATACTGCGGTGATCGGCTTTCCGGAAATCGTATGACACGGTCGTGGAAATGTCGTCGCTAGCATGGTAAACTCCAGTTTGGAAAACGCTGCCAAGTTGACAGTATTTATGTGGACTTTTCCAAAGCGTTTCATAAAGTGCCTCATGAATTAACTCTGAGAAAGCTCGAAAGGTTGGGATTTCCTAACTGGCTAATAAGGTGGCTATGGTCATACCTACAAGGAAGATCCGCCGAGTCAACTGACTTTGCAACACCATCAAGGCAGTCACCTCGGGCCCTTGATTTTTATTCTTTTCGTTAACGACTTGAGCCACCGACTTAACTCACATCGTCTTATTGTACGCCGACAATCTTAAGATTTATCGAATCGCCATTTCGTTGGCGGATTGTGCTGCTTTACAGCACGACATTGATACCATTGCAAGTTGGTGTGTGTCCAACGGAATGCAGATAAACGAGATGAAGTGTAAAGTTAAAAGTTACAGCAGATCGCAGACGCTTGTGCACTTTGACTATGCAGTTAATGGCATTTTTTTTTTCCTCTGTTCGGGACCTAACACCACTGCGACCAGTAATTTGATCTATTGTAGTATTTCCCTTGTCCTTAGTTTAGTGCATATCGTATTACTCCATCACTATTGAGAAATGATAAAGTATTCTATTTTTTGAAGTTGTCATTCTTGCATTTATCGCAAGGATCCGACTCTAATTGAAAAGTCCTCTCATATGCATCGCTGACGACGTGGGCATTGTAGAAAGAACGTTCCAGGCGGTGGTGGAGCAGTACACCACGAAAATGTGATCTACCCACGTTACGGGGCAGTTAATGGCATTAGATTACTTAGCTTACAGCTAAGACAGATAATTTCTTTTGATAAATTTCCCATGGAAGGTGATTATTTAAGCTTACTTGCAAAAAAAATCTACGCCCTTTGCGAGCGGCCTTCCGGCAGTTAACCGGAACATTCGCCATGGCGGACGAAAACATGCGTGTAGGCATGTTTTTGAGTTCTTTCTTCGTTTTATCCATCAATTCCTCCTCAGTTTTCGCGACAAAATTGTTGGAGTAGATCTTACGCTTCAGGTTGGCCCAGAAATGCTCGATGGGACGCAGCTGGGGGACGTTGGGCGGGTTCGCCGACTTGGGTACCACATCGATATTCAGCCGCTCCATCTCCTCCAATGATCGCTTCGAGTAGTGGACCAACGCCAGATCCGGTCAGAACAGCGCGTCTTCGCCCTTATGATATTTCTTGATAAACGACGCAACTTCCGGCAGGCATTTCTTACTATAAATTTCCCCGTTCACGTCCAGTGCGGAGCGAAAGAAGAGCGGCTTTAACATCCCCTTCTCGCTGATTGTCAGCCACAGCAGCACCTTCTTGGGGAACTTGGTGTGTGAAATGAACTTCACCTCGGAGCTCACTTCCTTCGTGGGGGAAGCAAAATACGAAGTGCCCTGCCAGTCGTTGCCATCCAGGGTGAGATAGGTCTCGTCGTCCATCACCACCGCCATGTCGCGATTCGCCGGGAAAAACGAGTTGACCGTCTTATTCAGCCGCTGCCGCTGCGTCATTGCCTGCAGCTCCGAAACCAGTGGACGTGACTTCCGCTTCCTGACATGTATGTTCATGTTCGCCAGGTACTTTTTCACTGTTTGGCCGGTTGCACCGACCTCTCGGCCAAGCGCACGCAGCGATGTAGCCACTTTTCCCTCGGTCTTCCTCTTCAACATCCTTTGGAACTTCTTGTTGCTCAGGGTCGTCGGCCGTCCGGAACCGGGCTTTCTTTCGATGCTCTGATTGTTGTCTAATAGTACAAAGATGTTGTAGATGCCGGAACGGGCGTATCCGGCGTCCACAAAGTGCCGCACGATTTCTGTTTTCGACGCGACGGGGTGTCGTTCTTTGACCGCGCACACTTCTGAATGGAGTTACTTCACTGTTTTTGCCATCACAGTTAGACTCTAACTGTTAGAGTTCGACTGATAGAGCTGTCAAATTTTGTCTGCTGACTCATGGATTACTATGATTGATGCTGCACGGGTAGTTTCGTCAGGGCGGTTGAAGGTAAACCCATGAAAAATCGACAATTTTTGTCCATTTTTTTAAATGCAAACGTTAGATGTAACACGATGTAACAAGATGTAACATTAGATTGGACCGTGTAACATCTTTAAAGGATTTGGAAGTGATAATGGACTGTACGTTAAGTTTCAACGAACACATCGCAACGACCACTTCGAAAGCTTTCGTCGTACTTGGTTTCAACCGCTGAAATGCATCTGAGTTCCGTGATGTGTACACAGCAAAAAAATAATTTTGATATCACATCAAAGTGGATGCACTACAATCATGTCGAAAATTTCATGTAATTTTTATGACCACATAAATAAACAAATGCAGTAAAAGCAGCGTAATGTCAGTTCATGCATTGAATTAATGATAATTTTGTCCTTTTTAGCAAGTAATATTACACCACATTTTCGACATGATTGTAGTGCATCCACTTTGACGTGATATAAAAATTTTTTTTTTGCTGTGTATGCATTGAAGAGTCTGTATTCCCAACTAACAATTTTAGCTGCAAATTAGCTTATACAGCCAAAAATTGGCTTATACAGCTAATTTTTGCCTGTATAAGCTAGTCTGCAGCTAAAATTGTTTGTTGGGTTGTGCACTTGTTCGAAGTGTTGCAAATCTGGACCCATCACCACGAAACCCATATTGCCGAATTGAAAGAGTGCAACGTTCGATTCGTCCTGCGGAGATTACCTTGGAATGATCGGCTCAGGTTGCCTCCCTACGCACATCGATATCGATTGTTTACATTCGATATTCTTAGTAACCGAATTGACTGTCCTGATCTTCTGCAACAGGCAAACTTCTACGTTCCACCGCGCCTCTCCCGCCAGCGTTCGTTATTCTGGGCTGCTAGACATCGCGCCGCGTTCGTGCAAAGCCATCCACTTGAGAGAATTAGTTTTAATTTGTTGAATGATGCTGAACTTTTTAAAAACTAGAATAAGACAGCTAACATTTAAGTGATTCACAGTCTGTGCAGCATAGCTGAAAACGTAGTAAATAAATCAATTCGAAAGGTAAACTCACTGCCACTGAATGAAAACAACCGGCTTAGACATTTTAACTAACTACAGCTGAAAAACCAGTTCTATGTCAGTATTTCTCAATTTTATGTCATAATTGAGAGCGATTTCACACTCAAAAACACTTTAATACACTCGATCTACCCGGCTACAATTATACCCGTGCCATGTGCCAAGCTGTTTAAATCTCAGTTCCAAATTACATCGCCATAAGAAGCCTCTTACTAATGGTCAGTGCCCCAAAACGAAACCGAGCGATCACCAGCGTCAACCAAAATACAATAAGTCGAAACCATCGATGAAGAATGGACAAACCGCACCGTGTGGCATGTCATTTTCAAAATCAAGGTTCCAATTATTTTAATCGTGGGCAAATCGCATAAAAGCAGCAGAACTGACAGGGAAAGCCACGCTTCAAAAATACGAAATGAATTGAATAAAAGTGAATGCACACCACCCGAGATGCGCAACGCTTAGGCCTTTCCTCTTCTCAAACCATCAGACTGCAAGAGCCGTCGGTCGTCTGTCTCAGTCGTATAAGGATTGCACTTGCCGTCGTGATTGAAACGCGTGTGCGGGTGAATGTAATTATTAGTGACGCACGTGCGTGAATACATTTTAAAGCAATCGAATCGAATCCAATCGAATCGAATCGAATTTGTTTGACGTGACAAATTGACGACCGACAAAGCGGGTGACCGCCGGCCGCTCGATGCTGGAAAGACTGTTTGGCACACTTTTGATTTTGTTGTCACCGATATGGGCATGTAGCAGCGCGACAGTTTCGCCTGGGACTGGGTCACTTTTCGCTTTCGGGCTTATGTAAAGAGCTCCAGTTGTGCTTCAAATTGAGAATAAAAGTGATAGCAAAGCATTTTCTCTTCTTTCGTTGCAGCCGTTACCGTGCGATACCTGACGAAGCGATACATCGGCGAATACAGCTCTTCCCGGGGTTCGTCACTTGTTCATCCCCTTGGGATTCCGTTGAAGTCTTTCGATCCTAAATTCACTTTTCACTTTACAGATTTTGTCTACCGACACGGCGTCATCTACGACAATGTCACGACCGAGGTGGAAATTCTGGACACTTCCAAGTGTGATGTAATTACTGCGTCCAAGACTTCAATTGCTCAAATTTTCTCAAATTTTCATACCATCCTCTATTCCAGAAACGAGGCTGCCTGTACGAGCACCTCCGCTGGGGTGACGCATTCGTCGTGGTGTACTCCATCTGTGATAAGGCAAGCTTCGAGGAAGCCGCCGACTACTTGCAGCAGCTGACCAAGCTCAAGCTCCCATCTTACTACACGATCCTGCTACTCGGGAACAAGAGTGACCTCGATCATGCCAGGTACCTACCAACACCACCAATTCCAATGAGAGACAAACTAACCTTAATCTCACCCCACCCCACCAGGGAAATCTCCGTCAACGACGGCCAGGAGCTGTCCTTCCGCTACTCGTGCCAATTCTACGAAGTCTCCGCGGCGGAAAACTTTGCCGGCGTGTCGCTGGCCTTCCAGTCGCTCATTCGCGAAGCCCGCTCGACGCAGCTCTTCCGGGCGCTTCCCCTCCGGAGGAAACTCGGCGTCAACAGTGTTTCGAAGGCGCTCGGGAACATCTTCGGCAAGAACAGCAAAGGCGAACGGAAGAAACGACCCTCGCTCAGCATATGACGTCCAATGGACGATCAGTCGCCGGACTCTAGAAACATTGTGTAAATATAGCGAAATCTACTTGTATGTACAACTCTCTAGTTTGTAAGGAGTAGTTTTAAAATTCATATGCTTAAACAATCATCAGCTATAACCATAGTGATTATGAAGCCAACCATTCCGGAGTTGTAACTGTGTCATTTTTGCGGGCAAATGTAATTGTACATAGTAGCAGTTAAGTCGTGAAAACAAAACTTGCATCAAGATTGCAAATTTGAAGTAAAATAAAATCCTCAAAGTATTGTACATGTTATCTATCGTATCGTAAGATTCCTATTCCTTTATAATGCGATTACTTTGGACATTTGACGTTCCTAATTGATAGATTTAAGTGCGCGCACTGTACTTTTGAACTGCGAAATTTGAACTGAAAACGACAATAATAAACAGTATGAATTGGATATTTTTTTCGGAAGCATGTGACTTTAAATGGCAAAAGGTGATGCTATCACAATCCTTTCTAGCAAAATAAGCGGAATAGAGATGAAAAGACGTAACATTATTAATGTATATTGTATTAACATTTAGAGAAGTCATACTTTAACGTGCATTCAGAAGATCGTTCAGCGCAAACGCGCAACACTGCTGCCTGGGAATGGCTACACTTAAAAAATTCCACACGTTACCTTCATGCGTTCCACGCTTCAATTTGCGCAAATTGTGAAAAACATGCATTTCATGTGTGAATTATATAATAGATATTATTCTCGAACACTATAAGTTCAATTGTGATACACTTGGATTTCATGTGTCTTACATTTTGTCATCGAAAGTTTGACACTTAATCATCAAGTTTCCTTCATTCACAAGTATATTATCGAACATATCTGGTTCGTGTATCTTACATTTGATAATGAATCAAAACTCATTCCAGCAATATTTCATTTCATTTAATGACAATAGTTTTCATTATTAATTCACAATAGATAAAAAACCCGAATTTATCCACCTATGGTGTGATCAGACCCTTCTTAATTATTCAAGTTTATTTATTTTATTGTCATTATCAGTGACCAAGCCCCCAACCCCCGTGTCATCCAGTGACGCTACGCCACTGCCTGGGGGTACCCGGAATATATCCGGGTGTAGTCTGTTTGGTGAGGCTACCAATCACCTTATCATCGTATTTTAATGTGATTTAATGGGTTTTAATTCAATTCATATTCAAGCAACTTCCCCGGGGTACCCGGAACATGTCCAAGTGTATCCAATGTGGTCTGGAACACTTAACACGACTTGCATTGATCTTATTTTTGAATTCTGTAGTAATTTGATGTGTCGCATGATGATTTTGATACGTTTTCCGTTAAATCCAGCGTGAAGGCCCATATTCACCGGATCTTATTCCGGCCATATCTCCGGAACCGGTTAACCGATTCCAAAACCGTTCAATAGCGTTCAATGGGACCTCAAGACCTATCATTTGGCGCCGAGTTTGTCCAAATCGGTTGAGCGGTTGCTGAGAAACGTGAGCGCATTCATTTCGTTACATACACACACACATACACACATACACACGTACACACACACAGACATGTTCCGATCTCGTCGAGCGGAGTCGAATGGTATATGACACTCGGCCCTCCGGGCCTCGGATCGATAGTCGGTTTTTCAAGTGATATCTATACCCTTCTTTGTAAGAAGGGTAAAAAACACTGCAGCTGTCTCCAATTGCGTCACTACACCAGGATCCAGGAACCCAAGAATACTGTAAAAGACAGTTATGGAGATGTACAGTTTCTCAGCTTTTGATGTTATTTTCAGTCATTATGATTTACTTACCATTTCTAATCAGTTTTCTGTTTTAAAGATGACGTCTAATGAAGAGTAAAATTTTTTTTTGTCAGATAGAACTGACCAACTATTACTGTCTCACTGCTGGGAAAAGTAATTATTGTCGAGATTATTGTCAGTAAATTAAATCTCTCGTAAGTGTACTGTAGCAGCAACATACATTGGCATTGATTGTTACTCTGTTTAATATTTCTGATGACACTCATCCTTCTACTGATGAGATCCATGTGCCATACACGTTAATTTGATAGTAGAAAACATTAGAGCAGGTCCCATAAATTTCAATAAGTAAACACATGAAATTATGGTGTAGTTTGTTTTAATTTCACCGACAGCTAGGACATGTGATTTTTGGACATTGATGCCATGAAATGCGAATGTAATTCACATGATATCATGGTGACAAGCAAATGGCAAAATTCATGTTTGAAAACACATGAATGGAACGTGTGGATTTTTTTGAGTGTAGAGTCGGTGTATATAATGAGTCACGCCAAGAATGAAGCCAACACGCTAACTTCTGCTTACTCACCAGGTAATTCGATCGTACTCACTTTCGTCCGATGTATCGAGTTGTCAAAAATTGAGTAAACGAGAAATGTCAAACGGAGTAAAAGCCACTCAATCAGCAAAATCCTGGACTTGGAAAAAATGCCAGTCATTTCGGAGGTAACCTCATAGAAAATGTTACATAAAACCGGCTGAAATGCATTCAGGTAAGTACGAATTGTTTAGGAAAACGGTGTTGAACCATTTTCTGCTCCGGTAGAATGAATCCGGAGCAGGCAATTTCCATTTCTTTGAATAAAAATCAAAACAAAAACCCTCCCAGCAACTGAAAATACCGGCGAGTGGATTTGACTCAGTCTACGTGAGAACGTCGTTTACTCAAAAGTGAGTCAACATTAGGCTACTTAATTTTGATAAGCCCTACTTGCCGCGGAGATGAGTACATTCGACTCAATTTTGAGTTGACCAGAATAAGCGTGAAGTCTACCTATTGAACTGTCAAACCGGCTACCTATCGTGCAAAGTAAACAAACATTACGATGCTATGAAAGGTCCACGAAAGGTATTGCAATAAAATATAAAATATAATCGAAGAAATGATCGTAAACACGTAGTGAGCAATAAATTGTCATGGGATACGTTTGGTAGTGATCACTTATGAGAATTTCTACTATTTTTGGTTAAGATTATTTGACTAAATCACTGATGATTTACTACAGCCGCTATTTTTTTTTTTTTTTTCGCTAGAAGTCATTTGAAGTTGTTATAGAAGTCCTCTGTTGCCAAGTGAAAAGAATGGGAATCTTTTGAAAACCGTGATGCGAGTTCAACTGTTTTTCTCTTGGCGTGACTCGTTATACACCGACTCTAGGAATGGCAATCAAAAGTACACGTAGAAAAAATACTCCCCAAAATTTGGATTCTTTTTACTTAACTCTTAAAGCTTAAAACTTAAAACTTAACTCTAAAAAGCCTCTCACTTGCACTCTTTATTGTTGTCAAAAAAGGAACGAGAGATTCGACCCAACGATACAGTTCAGCCCAATAAGTTACTTTTGAGTAAATTGCATATTCTCAAATTTACGTGAATTAAACTTAATCGTGGGTAAAATAAGAGTAAGTATTTTTTTTGCTGGTGTTAAATCACATAGAACTGGATGTCTGTGTCTGGATGGAGCTTAAACAAATTGTTCGAAAAAGTATGTGTAAGAATTCAAATTAAAATACGTTAGAAACACTAGCGCTGCCATACGGAATGTTGCGACTCGAGTTATCACTTTTTGCGATTAATGAGTAAACTGAACTAAAATTTGGGATGTTCCTATTGACCGTGTATCCAAATGAACTGTGAAATCAGTTCAAAACAAACCAGACAAAACAACGAAAACCAATCGAGTTTCTGCGGAACCATTATTTTCGAATAAAAAACTAAGCTCTTTTACAGTTTCCTGTAGATCTACAACCGTTTTTCGTTCCAATTTTAACCCTCCGTTACTCGCACCAACTTTTGTAACACGAGTACTCGCGCGTTGTACTTTGTACTGTCATGGCAACGCTCCGTAGAATATATCCATCGATATGATAGATTTGATTTCTTTCAGAATTGTCAAAAAATTAATCGTCGAAAACATCCTCCGGATATTCCACAGTGATCAGTTGGTCATCACTCATAACTTACTTTTGAAGATCGTTACTTACTGAAGCCGTCTCCTGGCATGTATGCCGAAAAGTCCGTCAGTCATAGTCTATCATCGTATTCATACGATGTGTTTGGAATTTCTGACATGAATTGGGAAACTGATAGCAGTTTTAAGTAATTCTTGAACTGTATTGGCTATTGGTCTTTTTTGCTTAAACCTAAGCAAAGAAAATATATGTTTGACCCAACCTTGTGTGAACCTGGCTGTGAAGACGAACTGGTAGTGTCTAAAAGCGCACTACATTTTTATTCAGTTCCAGTCGAACATTCAAATTTTCTCAACAGCATTGCGGCACTGTATGAAAGTCATTTGAAGCCACTCGAAGAAACATGGTTGCCAGTGACATTGCCAAAAGATCTATCAAAACCCGTGCTGCTGTTTTGACAGAAATTTTCTTTGCGTGTCTCTATCAACGTCCCTGCTTTGTACAACAGTGTGAGTTTTACATTGCCATTTTGCAGCCGAGCTACCAATCGATGTGAAACCAACGGGTATTCCTAACTTGTTTTTAACTAAACAAGCTAAACTTTTATCACAGTTAACCCTTAAAAATGCGGATAATAGAGAAAATGTGAATGGAAACCGCGTAAACGGTGTCCGTACTACCTGGGATTTGACTTCATTGGTTACAACATGGAAAATCTCGAGATCCCGACCAGATAGAAAGTTACTGTCGTCGACAAAGTTGTTGATAAGATCAAAGTCTATTTCTTGGTGCACAATAGTTCAAAATTTTCTCAATACGCGGTGCTATTATACAAGTGAAATCCTCATATAAAATATCTTAAGCTTATGACCAGATAGAAAGTTACTGTTAGTGGAGTAGTTCAGAAAATTCTCACTACGTGGCGCTAGTATATACGTGCAATTTTCGCATATACAATAGCTCGAGATCCTGACCAGATAGAAAGTTGCTGTCTTCGGCAAACTTGTTCAGAGGGTCAAGTATTTTTGGCTGGTGGACAGTAGTTCTGAATTTTCTCACCACGTGGTGCTAGTAAACGTGTACAATTCTCGCGTTTGCTTTATCTCGAGATTCTGATCAGGTAGAAAATTACTGTCTTCGAAAAAGTTCTTCATGAGGTCAATGCCTATTGCTTGGTGCACAATAGTTCAGAATTTTCACACTACGTGGCGCTAGTATACACGCGAAATTATCGCATGTAAAATATCTCGAGATTCTGATCAGATAGATTTCGCTAATGGACAGTAGTTCAAAATTTTCTCACTACGTAGCGCTAGAGTACACGTGACATTCTCGCATGTGGTTTGTTTCGAAATCCTGACCAGATAGAAAGTTTCTGTCTTTGACAAAGCTGTTCAGGAGGTCAAAGCCTATTGCTTGGTGTACAATAGTTGAGAATTTCCTAAACGGCACTTGTATACACGTGAAATTT